GTGAAAGTACAATTACTCTGGGGAACTATATTGATCACGAAGAGTTATTATCTCTATCATATATCTCTCTCATATCAGAATTTGCTGTTTAGTTAATACTATAATTTCATGAGTAAACTCGTGGATGTTTATATATGAAAGGTAGAATTTGCCAGATATAATTGAAAAGTTTTTTTAGGATGAGGGTGGGGTGTTGTTGTTGCTAGGTTTAACATCAAACCAACACGGTAGATGTAATATGGTGGCTTTCTAGCTTTACTGGTGGAGTGCAACTCCGTGCATTAGGCCCATTTCAGGCCACCTGAGTAGAAACACCACCCGACGTTCCGTATGCTACTTGGATAGCTTCCTCATTTTGAATATGGGTTTGAACATATAATAGCTTTTAATTAATTTATAAACAGACAGATGGTACAAAAATTTACTTTTTATTTAATATAAAACATCAGTCTATATGATATTTAATTGTTATATTTTGTGAGAGTTTTTTTGTTGTTTATGTTTTAATATGAAGAAGAATCGATGAAACTTTATAGAAATGCGCATCTTGAAATAACAGATAATTCAGTTTATATTCCATATTAATCGCGCTGTATATGTACGTGGTATTGAATGTTCATTTTTTTATTTTAAGCCAAAAAAAAAGAAAAAAAAAAGAATTAGCCTATAATCATTTTTAATTTTCTATGAATAAGAACCCACTGACTCAAAAGAGATGTTATGCGTTGCAAATGCTTTACAGTCTAGCTTTAATGAAAAAAAAAAAATGAATAGCCCGTAGCACTTTTTGGCAATTTAATTGCTTTGGGTTAGGATGCGAGAGTTATCTGACCTGTTAGGCGTGCGCTCTACGAAGGAGGTTTTTACGAGTTTGGGAAAAAGTAAACAATAAAATTTGTAAGTTACTTTTCAAAATGAATAACTTTAAATTGATGTTCATTAAAGTTGCGCAAACCGTTTACTAAAAAAATGCGTAAAATTTTGATGTGATCCTTTTATATTAAAGAAGATAAAAGACATGAACTGATGCTGGAAACTGGGAAGATCAAAATTATTTAAAATCGTTACAAAATTACTGGTTGGAGAGATAACTCCATCACTAAATCACTATTTTTTCTAAATATCTTTTTTATTTTTGTGTATATTTCAAATTTTTACCCACCTAAACAAAGTTAGGTTCAAACATTTATAATCATGTGCAAATTTCCTTTCTTGAAATGGAAACTGGTACTTTCTTAAGGTCTTGAATAAGGTATCCGAAACATGGTCTTTTTAACCCTGGACAGTAGATAAAGTCGACACTTTAATTTTAAAGTAAATACTAGCTTGAAAATTAGAATTAGTCATTTATTTTAACATTTTATACGCTTTAACCATGCCTTATTGATAATTTAACAAATTTTTAAAGAAATTTTCCCAAGTCACTACCCTGTGTTCAAGACAATTCTTAACTACCGTCTGGAAGTTAAGTAAAAAGAACGTTTTGTGGCTGTTTTTGTAACAAAAAATTGTGGTCAACATAAACACATTTAAAAGTTTACCAAATTTAAAAATCTCATCACAGTCTGTCCTTCTCCTTTATTACTAGGTCAGTAGGTGACCATGTGCTTGTTTGTTGACAAGAAAAGATAAATAAAAAAATTAAACCAAGTGTCGGGTTTATCTATGTGTCGGAGTTATCTCTTCAACCAGTATACAAAAAAAAAAATCTTAATTTTTGATCCATGATTACGAAATACATAGGTTGTAATAAAGTTACTGATAACGTTTTGAGATGCTAGTATTTCACAATGTCATTTATGATATCAATGTTTGTAAATTATTTCAACATACCAGGATACATCTATAGCCAACTTTTGTCTTTTAAATTTAAAATATTTACTATAAGCTATTAAACCTTATATTAGATATGGACTTTCATATTTCTCATCAAGATTAAAGGCAAATATTTGTAGAATGTGAGTAGAATTAACAGATGAACTAGTTTAAAATAATTAATTTGTGTTATTTTCATGAATTTTTATCACTGTCCAAGTCGAATCAAGGACAATACTATATATTAGTATATAGTGTAATGGGAATGGACTTAGAATTCATTTCTGACTTAGGATAAATGTTTTCTACCATCAAATACATATTTTGTGAACATTCAATGAGCCGTACCCCTTTGAGTTGAATAATGCATTTACATTATTTATTTATTTGGAAAAAGCTCACCATGCAAGGCACAATTGTTTCCCAAAATGTTCTAGTTGTATATTAGTTACATACTGTACAGTTAGCCAATTGACACTGTACATGTATACACTGTCCTATGGCATAATTTATTTTGCAATAATAATTTGAAGAGATTGATTGGTCAGTTCATGTTGAATTACATTTTCACAAAAAATAAAGGTTTTTTTCTAAATAATTTCATGAATGATGTTTGACCATATATAATAATATGATATAATATATAGATCTAACAAAGCCTATGAACGGGGAAGTCGGTTAAATAATCGTTCCTTTTTCTGTTTCAAAGGTGTCATTTGGTATTTCATGCACAGATTCTGTTTTCACTCAAAATAGCCGATGATTATTATTAATAAGTTGCAATTGTTCATTATAAGAATAACCCGCCTATAATCATTAAGTTACCTTGAAAATGTTGGCGCCCGACTCTGAAAATTTTATTGATGGGTATAGAATTCTATATATTCTTTTATTGTTTTTTATTTAGTTTTCTTTTAAATATACTCATGTAGTCTTATTAGCCCGGCAAGCCAAAGCCCAGACCTGCATCGCGATCCCAGTCTTTGACTTCCCCATATAAGAATTAAGATCTCCTTTTTTGCAAGAGTTTTTTCTAACAGAAATTTATAGATTTTGCGTTATTTACAGATTATAATTATTTAAATGACATTGTCTTAAAACTGATTAAAATTTTCTAAAAAAAAACAAAGGTGCCCTGCATCAGTGTTCATAGAAAATTTTTTGGTGTGGGCATAAGTTTATGCAAACTGTAATGATGAGGAACTGTGCCAATAATAATGATCTAGTAATTTTAATTTTGTTTTGCCTCAAAATGATTCTTATGTTAAAAATACATTTTTCTACAATGCCATAAAAGACTGGAATTCTTTACCAGACAACATTAGATCAATTGACAATATCCAAACATTTAAAACGAAAGTAAAACTTTTTTTAAGTAATGAAAATGATAAACAAGTGAATAGTGTGTTTATTTATTATTAAATTGATGTGTAACTTATGATAAGGTTTTGTAACATGTTTATGTGTACTTGATATGTTTTAGTTTAAACGAAATTTATTGCATTTTGTTTGTGAAAAATGTGTCTTGATTGTTGAAAATTGTCATTTATTTTAACTTCTTTATAACTCATTTATTATTATGTAAGTTAATGTAATAATTTTACAGAAAATGGACCCCATTGGAAATAAGCTTTTAGCTTAATGGGCTATCCTAGGGTTACATAGATCATATTCATTAATTAATCTTATAATTATTTTTGTTGCATTTATGTGTGTGTTTTTATATATATGCTAGTTGATATATGTGATTAAATTGTATGTGTATATGTATATTCCCTGAATAAATCGACGACGATAAGCTAAAGCAGATTTTTCAGCTTTTATTTGTAGTACTGGCTTTAAAAGTTTTCAAAACAATATTTTCTTTTTTATGACTAATCACAAATGTATAATGTTGATTTTTTTTCCCATAGAAATTACAATTATTTTAACAATGTTTGAAGTAAACTCAATTAGTATTTTCAGAGAGAAAAAATGCCATTCTTCAAACATCAAAACTTACTAATTTAATTGAAGGTATAAAGTATATTTAATGAAATACTAAAAATTTATATAATGGTAAAATATGTTGTTTTGTAATATTATGGAATGAATTTAAGATTTTGAATTTACTGGCCCAAATTCCAGTTTTGAATTTGTTCTAATATATATTTAACTAAATTTTCTTAAAATTTACACTGGCCCGAAGTAATTTACACTGGCCATGGGCCACTGGGCCAGTGCTCAATTCATTGACTGCAAGGGGTTGACTTTTAAGCACTTAGGAAATTATTTTCTGCATGTGCTGCTACATGTAAGTCCCTCCTAATGAAAAATTCAAAAAATATTTTGTTACTAGAACCAAATTCATATGACTGTTTGTGAAACGTGATTTAACATGTATGTCAAATAGCAATTCAATTCAAATATCTTTATTCACCCAGGTATCAATAAAATACATAAGGGGTTAACAAAATAATACTTTACAATATAAATGCAACTGAAATCACAAATTTATAATATACATGTTTATCACAACTGATTAAATTTACTTATTCTTATTATTATTCTTATTTATGGGTAATCCAAATAATGCTAATACTATTATGAAAAAACATAAAATGTTGTGAAATCCCCATCTTTGTTCTCTATTTGTTGTGATCTACATGAAAACAATGTTGGTATGTGATGGATTTGAATTTTCACACATGGCAAACTTCTAGATTAAAATTCAAATGGTGGATAAATGTATAAATCATAATGTATATACTGCAACATGTTTTATGTTGAAAAATAATATTTTTTGTTGGACAAGACTATATAGTTACTGTTCTTTGTTTTGCCAAATAATATTTTTGTGAATAAAATAACAAAAGGATATTCTACTAAATAAATACATTTTCAATGTAGGTATTTATTGTCAGGTCTATGACAGGTCTATTTGTGATATACCTGTCTTATTTAAAACTATGATATGCCTTAAGCCTTAAGGCTATTGTTTTTTAAAGAAAAAGAGTGTATTTTTGATGAAGGTAATAATTTTAGTACCAGTCCAAAAAGAAGAGGGGTTATACACAAAACCAGTTGTATGTTTGTTACATTTCATGGGCTTAAAATTATTATTCAAATTTTACAATTTTCAAGGGATTATTTAAAACAGATAATGAAGAAGATTGTTCTATAAATAGACATGTTTTCTTTTTCAGACTTAAGTAACATCATGTCAAGACACTAAATTAAAACTATGGATGAAGTAAAGGCAAATGGTAAAGATTTGCCTGAGACTAACGATAAAAATATGGATAAAACTGGTGGAGAAACAAAGATAGAAATGGTCAATGGTAAAACTGAAGTTGCAGATAAGGATGTAAATAAGGATAATACATTAAATGACAGTATAGAAGTTGAGAATGATGAAGCAAATAGATCCAGCTCACCTCTTGTTTGTGATTTAGACGATAACGAAAGATATGGTGATCTGACCAAGTACAATGATGAAAAATCACCGCAAGATCATGTAAAAGGTAAGGCTGCATTAAAATTCATGTTATTTGATGATAAGATAGACATTGTATGTTTCTAGTGGGGTACATGCATATCAATGACCAGTAGAACTTCAGTGAAAAGCATATTGGCTGTAGACTGATATATGGATACATTTAATTACATGATTACTTGTCTAAGGGGAACAGTGGCCTAGTGGTTAAGGTGTCTGCCTCTCAACACAGGGATCAAGCTCTAAACTTTGCTTCTTCATATGACACCAGTACTGATTGGTTCCAGGAAGCGAACTCAAAAGTGATTTATCGCAGTCAAGCTTAAATAAATATGTTTAAACTAATTCAAAAATGTATTTGTCTATAAGTATAATTGACTTTAATATATGATTTCAGAAACATATATTTTCTGTTCAAACAATTGTGATGTGCATTTTTATAAATGCCCACTTCTGATTCATATTGTTTTTGTTTTCCATTCTTTGTCATCACTGCTATAAATATGTCTATTTCTTGAAGACAACGTATTTTTAGACATACAGTTTTGACTGCAACTGCTTCTGTAACTGTTTTCTGTTGATTTTCATAATTTCTTTTTAATATTTTATTTATTATTCACAGTTCGAAACTTTTTCTTTGCCAATAATTGATCAACAGAAAAATGTCAATGATACATCAATATTTTTTATTCTTTCATGTCAGCTGTAATATGTGGTGTCATATATGAGCTGAATATATATATCCCATGGGAGTATTTTTAATAAAAACATCACTTAAGTCTTTCTTGCCATTATATCATATTGATAAAAAACTTCCTGGTAAGTTTATTCCCAAAGGACAACTGTGGACCTAAAAGCAATTTGTTTAAGTAAATAGCACTTTTTAGCTTGACTATTTGATAAGAATAAGTAGAGCTATTGTAGTCACCCGAGCGTCGGCATAACCACTTATGTTAAAGTTTTTGTAATACCTCAAATATTTTCAAAGTCCATTGACATATGGCTTTGAAACTTTGCACACTTGTTCACCATCATGACCTCAACCTATAGACAGGAGAAGGTAACTGTATCAAGCATTTTGACAGAATTATGCCCCTTTTTCGACTTAGAATTTACATGTAGGTTTGCATACCATCTCAGATATTTTCATAATTATTCTATTGAAATTTTATACCCTTCTTTGAGAGCATAATAGGACTCTCTCCAAGGCCTATAACTGTAACATAGATTTTAAGAAAAAATTTGTCCTTTTGTTTTTCACTCTTTCTTACATGATAAATTAAAATGATTTTTCAGTCAGTAAATGAATTGATTGATTTTAGTCATTTGTTTCAAAAGAATGCATACTATATTATTATTAAGTAACAAACAAGTTTGTGATCCTTCATTAGTTATTCTGAAAATTTACAGTATATTCTCATAGCAAGCATGTCAGCAAATTTATTGCCATGGTTTAGAACTGTTCACTCTATAGGGTAGAAGATGTGTACATGCCTGGATAGCTCAGTTGGAAGAGTCCCAGTACAGTATTCTCAGGGTCCTGGGTTTGAGTCCCGGTCAGGCTTCACATTTTCTGTCTCATTGTAACGTTTGTCACAAATAGTTAAGACTTAAGCTGACAGGCTTTTATTAACCATAAATTGTTTGTAGTAAAATTTCTAGTGAAGCATTTGCATGGAAGTTTCAAGTCCACAACCTTAACTTGAAACTTTACAGAATGTCTGATGTAACACAATAAGCTTCATCGGTTACCCAGGGTGTATATTCAATGCATTCTACATTATGTTATGCAGAATTTAAAGAATACTGTGCAAGTGGATATTTCCATGTGTCGAAAAGTTAGCAGATTTTAAATCCAGACATTTCGCATAAGGAAATATAAGCGAATCAAAGAAGGGCAGAACTTAATGACAGGTTGGTTGATATTTATGCTAGAGAAAGTTTGAGCGATTTTCGTCAGTTCGCGAAATTCGCCAATACTTCCATGTCACTAACTTAACCACTTATACAGTATATACTATGGGTAACCGATGATGCACAATAAGGAGTTGATATAATAACATATAATATTATTAATATTACAGTATATATAGAGATGGACAACAATGATGATGGGGACGATGTCTCGGTGACAGGAAGCTACATTGAGAGATTATATCCTAACATGGGACTCATTGATGATGAACACGAACTTAATAAACCAAGAACCCAACCAGAAAGTCGACTACAGTAAGATAAATTCAGTAACATACAAGAAAGATTTAACTAATGTAAATATCTAGCTTGAATAAGAGACTTGCTGCCTATTTAAAATATTGTAAATCTTGAATTTTTCTCTGAGACAATATGTGAACTTTGGTCCGTCTGAACATCTTTACATGTACATAATGTGTCAGTTGTTATGTTTTTTGGTATCTTGTTTATATAAAGATAAGATTTCCTCAAATGTTTGTTTAAAGTGGTGGCATGGCCGAATAGTTAGCACGTCAAACTAGTAGCTTAAGTATCAGTATCAGTGTGGGTTCAAACCCTGTAGGTTTTGAGCCGTTGTTTTCTTGAGCAAGAAATTTTACACTTATTGCTCAGTACTGGTTGGTTCCAGGAACAGATGTGAGAGTGTTTCTATAAGCTTCCTACACAATCAAAGTAAAATTAATTCTGTATAAACCAACTGTATGTTTCAGTCACCCTTTAAATATATATAAGCACATACACTTGAAAAAATACAACAATTGATTTTTTAAAACAATATCTGAAGAGTTGAGGGTAAACTTTTCCAGTTTAAGTTGTTTGGATTTTAACAGTGATTCAAGGCTATTATTGTTTGTTCTTATATATGCATATAATCAGTTCAATAAAAACAAACGCTTTTCTTTTTAGCTTTCAACGTTTTGCCTTCTTCAGAAAAAATTGACGTTTATAAAATAACAAATAAAACTATATTCTATACTGTATATTATTTTTGGTCATTATGAGATTATACTGTGTACATTGATAATGTATTTTTCAGTCGAGCACAGTTAATGGTAAAGGTAGTGGTAGAACATATGGCGTTCAGGATATTCACGATACTGCTGATTCTGGTCGAGTTTATACTGGTCATCATAGATCTCTCTATGAATAGTGACGGTCACATCAAACATCTCGATCACGCCTCACAAATCATCATTGGTTACTTTGTCCTCGAACTTATCGCTAGAATATTCTATAAAGGGTTTGTATAATTTCTATTTCTCTTTGTGATTATAAAGGATTTTTTATTTGTTTTTAGTGTACAGCGTTTTTTTTTCTCTACTTTGGGAATGGTGCCGGTACCAGACTGATTGGGAAAAAATGCGTTATTTTGACTAAAATTGGGAATTTTTTAATGCATTTTTTCAGCTTCAAATGAGATTAGACATCATGAATAAAGATAGCTAATAGCTTCTACTGTCAAAATAGAACTATTGAGTGGTGATTTATATGAATATGTTGGATTTAAATGATTTTAGAAAAATCACTTGGCCTTGTGGGCATTTTGAACAGCCATTTTGGGAATTTAACATTGGAAATTTTAATGTCTATTTTCAATTGGGAATGGTACCGTTTTAGGGTAGTAGTTATATAAAGAAAAAAAACACTGGTGTAATATCTCTCTTAAAGGGACTCCACTGAGTTTCCTTGACATTGTTTTCGAGATTATTATTTCATTTGATGCAGGTCAATGACAATAACTTGTGTGCAAAATTTCAGATCATTCGCTCCCTCCATCTAACCAGAATAATTATTTTATGAAAATTACACAAAGTTGAAAAGCCTTGCAATGCTTTTCACAAATACATGTATGTGGCTAATAATAGTACACAAATATGATTTTCAGTTTATTTCTCTGATAATTCTTTTTCTTTTGAATACTTTTATGTTTAAAGTGGCCTGGCAGAGCTTTATAAGAAATTTAAACTTCATGTTTTAGGCTTTTGGACCTCAGTGGAGTTCCTTTAAGAAGTTAGAATGTTTAAATATTTTTCAAATGCGCAAAGCACAAGTAAAAATAAGAATTTTTTTTATCTAAAAATTGTACTCTTTGTTTTTAATGAAGGTAAATTATTATTAATGTAACATTTAAGGTGATGATATTTTTAAAAGCATCAAATTGGTTGATTATTTTGATAGGAGGAGATTTGCAGTTTTCAGTTAATCATACTAAGATGATTTCCTACAGCAATAATAAATGGCTTGAGTTGTAAGTTGATAAAGCTGTGTGAATGTCAGGGATTTTTAAGGCTTTTTTTGTCTATGTGATACATGCTTTGTCCAGAAATGCTGAAAGTTTAAGAATTGCTGTGAAATAATTTCAAGAGTATGTGCTTGTGTATATTTTCTGCCTTATAATCTAAGAGCTGGCAATAGACTGCACTCCCAGATCCATAATTATAAAGAAAAACACTGTCATAATTTTGAAATTTTGGACATCTGCAGTAGATTGGTTAAGGTTTTAGACTTTCAGTCATTTGTCTGAATTTGAAACCTGCTAGGGCATCATATTCTCTCATATAAGAAAACTATCCAGCTAAAATTACAGAAGGTACAATGTAGGTGGGTCTACTTATGTGCCTGAGGTTGTATTTGAAATGATAAATGTGCGACCATCTGAAGTTTGCCTGGACCAGTATAGTAGGGAGTAGATGTACAACCACCTGAAGTCTTCATGGACCAGTAAAGCTTGGAATTCACTAAACGACCTTGAAAGATTAAATTATGCAAATATTATTCAAGAATATTAATTTTTGTTTCATTCTTAAGTCATTTTAAGCATAACACATCTGTTACTGGAAGTGGTTACTTTTTACTGCCAGTTTGTATAGGCCCTAAATTTTTGGCCGATTAATTTTGATATTGTTGTAAAAGTATTAACAGATAAATCTTTTTTCTGTTGTGTGTATATTGCAGAAAACTGTTTTTCCACCATTGGGTGGATATTATAGACATGATCATTATACTGGGTACATTTATACTTGATCTTCTGGTATCCAAGGGTGAATATGCGAGGTATACACATGACCCGAGCATGGTTTACACACATTCACTCAATCCTTTATGACCCATATTTTGATTTTGTGTTCACAAGTTTCAGTTTCAAATCCAAGGGAAGCATTTTCACCACAGTGAATATGTCAAATAAAAAAAAGCAAATATATATATACCATAATTTGTAGGTTATATTTGTTTTACTTGGTATCTGGATTCTTGTTGTCACTGACAGCAAGATTTTGAGTTATTATTCAACATCTGCCATAGTTTGATTTTTTTTCTATATCTTAATCAGACAGGTCAATCTTTCAATCTAGACGTAACCATTCATCGCTTTTAGGGAAAATAACAAAATATGTATTGACTGAATGGCAAACAGTGCAGACCATGATCAGAAGGCATGTAAGTGCCAGCTGATCTTGGTCTGCATAGATTGCATGGGAATATTCAGATGCTGCTAGCAAGCTTAGGATTAATTTTTTTTCTCCAAATTTTATTTTCCAATAATTGGCCATCCAATTCTCCCTTGGGCCCATTTTTCCTGCATGGCCTGATATTTAAAAAAATGCACCTCAACATCTGCATCACCAGATATTCACCTACCTTGCCATTGAATAAATGTATATTCACCGGACGTTTACCCATCCTTTTTTTTCACTGGACATTTACTTATCTGTTATACAACCATTATTTACTTGCATGTTTTCACCATTGTTTATTTCAGAGAGTTATTCTTTCACTGCTGGATGGATATACTTGATATGATAGTTGTCATAGCAACCTTTGTCATTGACCTTGTCCTTAGTAACACCTCAGTACCAAGGTATATTTTTGTTTACACTTTCCTCACATGCCAGGGTGACAGTGCTTAATACTTTATTGTGACTGTATGTTTTCTTTTCCAGTTACATAATCTATTTTTCTATTCATATAATATAGCATAATCTGATCAGTTATGTCCGAACAGCTTTGACTTTTTTAGTTATTGTATTATACATCTTTAATAAGATATTCATTGTTAAGCATATTATATTATCAGCTCCCTAATCAAAGAATCTGGAGAGTTTTTGTACTCACCTAGGCCTAGGCACATCACTTGTTTATTAGCAGATATCAAAAGTATAACTACTATTACAGTCAATTTTACTTAATTTTACTTTCATGTATTATTTCCTTTTATATAATAAGTATTCTATTTATGTCTAGAATTTAACTTTGTGAAAAACATTTAAAGATTTTAGCTAATATTTTTATGAATAAATCAGGATTAAAACATTACTACATCATTGTAGATATCATATATATGTTAACATTGTTAGACAAGATTTTTTTCTTTTTTCCAGATTAGGGGTGATAGGTCGAGGCATAAGAATTTTACGAATTGTCCGCGGCATTTACTTAATATCTCAACAGAGGAAACATTTAGCTATAGCGTCTCGTAGGATCGTGTCTCAGAACAAACGTAGATATGTAAAAGATGGTTTTGACCTTGATCTCTGTTATATTATGGGTAATTTTCATATTGATTGTAACTTTTATATAGTAAAATGGACTTAAAGTGTATAAAGCTATATCTGATAAAATATTTTATAAAATTTTAAAACAGGAAAATTATTTTGTTTTCATGACGTTATTGTCATTTACTGAAAGATTTGTAACATAGAATGTCTATGTAATTTGATATATATGAATATTATACGTAAACAGAGTAAAATGTCCTGGAACAAAATATTCAGCTGCTATTTTAAGTAAATTAGATGATGATTTTCCTGCATGCCCACTCTCTTTAAATAAAATATACTGACACATTTCTTTTGTTCTAGGTATTCTATAATAATTTTAATCATAACGGAAATAATAATTTTACAGTCCTCAGATCGCAAAAATATAGCTTTATAAACTTAAAAAAAAATGAAAATATTACAATTTATATACTTACTAGTATTTTTAATCCATGGACATATTTTTTATATATTACTCTTCAGGTTTCCTCTATTTCCAAAAAAATATTTGAATTGACAAATCTATATTGTAATATTATTGTTATTGAATTGTGAGCACAAGTATAACTAGCTTAAACAAATGATTGGTTGTCCTACCAGTGTTATGTATCTTGAGTGTAAAAAATTATGTTCGGGAGAGCAACGGAGATCTGCCTCCATGAAAATTGCCACTTGATCATTACATGAATATTTGACATTAAACACAAGAGATGACATTCAAATTTTATGAAATTTTTTATATGAAACTGATTATTAAGTTTATTTCTTGTTTTGTTTTCAGAAAGGGTAATTGCCATGTCATTTCCATCGTCCGGTGTACAGTCTATGTATAGAAATAATATTAGAGTAAGTGGAAAAGATTTCTTTCTTCATGCTTTTATAGCAATTATTAGCTGAACATGAATTATTAGATAAACAAAGACTTGTTAGTTCATCTTAATCACTCAGTTGTTGGCATATGATTTGAAATCGTTTATAGTTAGGAATACAACTTAATATTTCATTAACCATTGAAGACATTCAATCAAGTCATACAAACTATTCCCCAGAAATGAGAGAGCTTCCATTTTAATTCTCTCAATATCAGTGACGTTTAGATGTTTTTAAATATGTCTGTAATGCCATTTCTCCTTCATATTTAAATGATATCAAAATGCTGTTAAGAAATTTAGCACTGTTAATTAAAGAATTTTTGTGATGCAAGTATTATCTTGATATTATAAATGTTAACACTCAACCTGTGGAACAGAAATTGATTACCATTTGCCACCAGTATAGAGTCAAGCCAGCCTGCAAACCTATGTCATCCAACCAGGCCCTATACTGTTTGTAACTCAATTTTAGTATTTTGATAAAGAAATCCCTTAAACTTTGAACAGAGTATTCAAAGTACAAATCCAGTGTACAAATTGAGCAGGTAAAGAAGTGATGAAGAAAATTTTCATATAGCTGAAAAAAGAAATGTTCTGGATTTGTTCTGTGGGAACAAGGTGCCAGACAGCATAAATTTTGTAGAGTATTAAAGTATGTCATTCAATATTTTTATTATTGATATTTATACTCTTTCTTTTTTATCTTGCAGGAGGTTTCTAAATTTTTTCAAGCAAAACATAAAGGTCATTTTAAGCTTTACAACGCATGTAGTAAGTTGTCATTTTCCTTTCTAAGTTTTATTAAACTGTTTGAACTGAAAAGATTAGCCTTTGCCACCAGTATAAAGCCAGGCCAGTCTGCTCTACCATGCAGTCTGACCAGACTTTATACTGTTGGCTGACCAGTTTCAAGTTTTCAGCTTGATATCCTGAATATGTTTGTTTTTTAATCAGTAATGGACAGGTCCAGTGAACAATTTTAGAAGTTTAAAATGTTACATAACTGCATATAATAAAATTTTTACTGATTATTCATTAGATTACACATTGATATTGCAGAAAAGCTGTTTGTTACACATTCATTGCAACTTTATTTTGTGAAGTGTTGACATCTTTATGATCTAAAAGGATTTGTTTAACTGTAATGTAGGATATAACTTGTCACCCTGCTTAATTTTGTAAAAGATTGTCATGTTACATTTGCTGATGAATAATAATACTGCTTGATATGTAATTGTTGGTATATAAAATATTGTCGTGTTAAAATTGTTAAAGTATAAAGCTCACCATGTGAAATTGTTTGTTAACTTACAGGTGAACGTGATTATGATACTTCATATTTTGATGATAGTGTAGAGAGAATTTATATTGATGATCACAATGTGCCAACACTCAGGTCAGTACAATATTTCAAATTTTTCTTAAATGACTCGGATGAGTTCAATATTGTATTAGTTAAATGACCCATGTCTACCTAATATTTTACATTGTTGTTAATAACCCATGTCAGTCCAATATTTTACATTGTTGATGACCTATGTCAGTCCAATATTTTATTGCTTTATGAATGACTCCAGTCAGTCCAATATTTTATGTCATTGTTAATGACTTATGTCAGGACAATTATGCATTACTTTGTGAATTACTCGGGTCAATCCAATCTTAGTCTGATCGTTCTTTACTGTGTGAGGGAATCGGGTCAGTCCAATATTGTACTTCTTTGTAAATGACCTATGTCAATTCAATATTTCATTACTTTGAAAACAACACTGGTCAGTCCAGTATTTTTAGTGTTGCCTGCTACTGAGTATGGGAGGGCCCAGAAGTGATATTGCCATGTGACATTACTGACTGTTACCCTCTGACTTCACATACCAGTAAATAGTAAATATATTGTGTAATGTATGACAATATGAATTTTTACCCTTTGATATCACATAAGGTTTTATAATAAATAATATGAGGTATATTAATACATTTGATATTTATAGGGAGATGTTGCGGTTCTGTGAGAGCATGCATGAATATTTATCTGAGGATCCTGAGAATGTAGTCGCCATTCATTGTAAAGGTGGTAAAGGGCGTACAGGAACGTTGATCTGTACTTGGCTTGTCGAGTGTGGACAGTTTGAAGAAGCTCAGGTAAAACAAGCTTTTTCTTATATTGATAATTTATATTGCCCCCTGCTTGGCAGAGAGTCTGCCATTGTTAGATTCATTTTAGTTTGATTGAGTTTGGAACTAAAAGTTTATAGAAACTCTTTCGAATCTGTTCCTAAAACCAAACAGAACTTACCAATTAGTGTAAAGTTTCCTGTGTGAGGAAATGATGACACATTTTGAACCAAAGGGGCCAATTTACATTAAAAACACAAAAAACTCAATCTTTACTCCAAAATTTGTCAAATAATTATTCAGTCATTGTTTAACAGAAATTTTGTTTAGTGATTCTTATCAAATATTTTTTTCCAACACAACTATAAGTGTGTTATGTTGATTACTTACTATATGATGTATTACTAAACTTATTTCTTTATCATCATCTATAAAATATCACAAGTGTTTTATAAATATAAGAATATACATGCCTTCATAATTATATTCCAGTTATTTTAAGCAAATTTTAACATATTTACTGACAATGATTTATAAATGTTGCAGGATAGTTTAGATTATTTTGGTGACAGACGTACAGATCTGGATCATGGTAAAACATTCCAGGGAGTTGAGACACCAAGTCAGGTAGGTCCTTTAACTTTCCCAGTTATTTCTTTTGTTAAATGATTAACACTTAAATTGTCCATACTTTGATATGTGGTAAACCTTTAGTGAAGAAAAGGTTTTTTTCCATAAGTAAAGGTTCGGCAGGCTCAATAGGGAGACCATCGGATTAGTAATCCAAGGCTTGATGGTTCAATTCTTTAGCAACTTCTAATTTCTTTGATCTTGGACACTGAGTCTAACGGTCATTTGTCCCTCACGGCTGATTCAGAAATCATGTGGAATTAGCAGTCAGTCATTTGTAGAGAAATTGGTAATTACTGGTCAGTTATCCAGGAAAGTCGGTTAGGTAATATGCTGGTATACTTTGAAAACTTCGTAAAACTTTCTACAAAGTTAACACTGGGCAAAGAAGGAAATTATTTTGATATTGCAATGACATTGTATTTTAAATTTATCATAATTCGTGCAAAAATTTTTTTCCGGTTCAATTGCACTATTGTATGTCATATTTATATGAATCCTTTGTATACTGATTTGATGTTTGATAATTATATTTTCAGAGTCGGTATGTTGGATATTTTGGTGAAGTCAGAAATAAATATAACGGTGTTCTTCCAAAGGAAAAATTTATCCGAATTACAAATGTCCGAATTCATGCAATAAAAGGTATGGTACGTCAATAAGTAATTTATGTTCATTAAATGCTGTTTTTTTATGCCCCCACAAAGTGGGAGCATATAGCATTGCACTTGTCCGTCTGTCCGAGCAAACATTTGATATTTATGAGCTTCATTCGGTAGTTAAATAAAGAACAAAAACTCATAAAATTCATATTGTGAGCAATTTTATGTTTTTATGAGCTAAATTCAGCTTATGGACTTGCGTCCAGGTGTAGTTTATGAGCTGATTTGCCTCTTAAATATCAAAAGTTGGTAGGACAGCCGTCTGTCCGTATGAACCCAGAGGTACTTGTGTGACTTTGAGAACAATGGGTAACAGTAAATTCTCTTTGGTCCTATTCATTTCGTTTTTACTTGTGTGTCTTTTTTTAAGCCTTGTGTGACTAAAAATGGCCAAAAAGATTAAAGGAAAAGTCACATAAGTACCATTTTGTGAGTACATCCGTCCGTACGTCCAAGCAAACATTTTGGGTTTAGGGGCTATATAACAGTAAGGAGAACAAAAGAGAACAATAGGTTCATTCCGTGATCAAAGGGTTTATGGGCTAGTAGCCCTTAAGAAAACAAAGAAAATAACAAAGAAAATAGCCCCTAAACCCAAAATGTTGGAACGTCTGTCTGTACGTCTGTCCGCACTCACAGGACAGTAATTATGTGGCTAGAGGGACAATAGGTAACTGTTCTTTCTCTTTGATGTCATTCATTCCGTAATGCTTTTATGTGGCTATTTTCTTTTGTGTGGCTAAAAAGAACAATAGAGTAGCCACATTATTACTCTCCTGTTAGAACGTCCGTACGTCCCTAAATCTTGTGAACGCAACTCCTCTTGAACCGGATGGCAGATTTTGCTTAAACTTCCAGGGATGAACAACCTTAATGTGTAGATGGCAGTAAAGGAAGGAATTTTCGCTGTGACCAAATTTAACAGAATTATGGCCCTTTGTTGATTTTTTTACTATATACTCTGTAGAAATTTTGTGAACACAACTCCTCTTAAACCGGATGGCAGATTTTGCTTAAACTTCCAGGGATGAACAAACTTAATGTGTAGATGGTAGTAAAGGAAGGTATTTTTTTGCTGCAACCAAATTTAACAGAATTATGGCCCTTTGTTGATTTTTTCACTATATACTATGTAGAAATTTTGTGAACGCAACATCTCTTAAACCGGATGGCAGATTTTGCTTAAACTTCCAGGGATGAACAACCTTAATGTGCAGATGGTAGTTAAGGAAGGAATTTTTGCTGCGACCAAATTTAACAGAATTATGGCCCTTTGTTGATTTTTAGTTTTCAACTTGTGGCACATGTAGTCCAAAAAATATTTGACCTAAAGTCATAAGATTGACAGAACAGTGGCGTGTGGGGGCATCCGTGTCCTATGGACACATTTCTTGTTATGCCCCCACAATGTGGGAGCATATAGCGTTGCACTTGTCCGTCCGTCCGTCAGTCCGTACGTACGTCCCGAAATCTTGTGAACGCAACTGCTCTTAAACCGGATGGCAGATTTTGCTTAAACTTACAGGGATGAACAACCTTAATGTGTAGATGGTAGTAAAGGAAGGAATTTTCGCTGCGACCAAATTTAACAGAATTATGGCCCTTTGTTGATTTTTTCACTAGATACTATGTAGAAATTTTGTGAACGAAAATCCTCTTAAACCGGATGGCAGATTTTGCTTAAACTTACAGGGATGAACAACCTTAATGTGTAGATGGTAGTAAAGGAAGGAATTTTTGCTGCGACAAAATTTAACAGAATTATGGCCCTTTGTTTATTTTTTCACTATATACTATGTAGAAATTTTGTGAACGCAACTCCTCTTAAACCGGATGGCAGATTTTGCTGAAACTTACAGGGATGAACAACCTTAAGGTGTAGATGGTAGTAAAGGAAGGAATTTTTGCTGCGGCCAAATTTAACAGAATTATGGTCCTTTGTTGATTTTTTCACTATATACTATGTAGAAATTTTGTGAATGCAACTCCTCTTAAACCGGATGGCAGATTTTGCTTAAACTTCCAGGGATGAACAACCTTAATGTGTAGATGGCAGTAAAGGAAGGAATTTTTGCTGCAACCAAATTTAACAGAATTATGGCCCTTTGTTGATTTTTTCATTATACACTATGTAGTATAATGGTAGTAAAGGAAGGAATTTTTGCTGCGACCAAATTTAACAGAATTATGGTCCTTTGTTGATTTTTAGTTTTCAACTTGTGGCACATGTAGTCCAAAAAATATTTGACCTAGAGTCATAAGATTGACAGAACAGTGGCGTGTGGGGGCATCCGTGTCCTATGGACACATTTCTAGTTTTCTTCAGTTTTTTAGCTCGACTATACAAAGTATATGCAGAGTTGTCCTACTCCCGTTGGCGTCCGCGTCCAGATTTCAGATTAAAGTTTTGGTGCAGTAAAATATTTTTCACTATAACTTTTTGATTTCTTAAGTTATCAACTTCAAACTTCAATTGATATTCCTTATCATCAACTTCATCTTATGTGACAAGGTTCATAACTTTTGCACCAATATTTTTAGATTTATCTCCCCTTGAATATAGAATTTTTCTTAATTTTCTTAAAAAATACTATTTTTAGCTCACCTGTCACAAAGTGACGGGTGAGCTTTTGTGATCGCTTTTCGTCCAGCGTCCGTCCGTCCGTCCGTAAACTTTAACTTTAAATGACATCTCCTCATAAACCACTAAGCCAATTTCATCCAAACTTCACAGGAATGTTCCTTTGGTGGTCACCTTTAAAAATTGTTCAAAGAATTTAATTCCATGCAAAACTCTGGTTGCCATGGCAACCGAAAGAAAAAACTTTAAATATCTTCTTTTAAAAAACCATAAGAGATAGAGCTTAGATATTTGGCATGAAACATCTTCTAGTGAGTGTCTACCAAGTTTGTTCAAATAAAAGCCCTGGGGTCAAAATTGGCCCCGCCCCGGGGGGTCATTGATTTTCCCTATATGCATATAGTAAAAACTTAAAAAATCTTCTTTTAAAGAACCCAAAGAGCTAGAGCTAAGATATTTAGCATGAAACATGTTCTAATGGGTGTCTACCAAGTTTGTTCAAATAAAAGCCGTGGTGTGAAAATTGGCCCCGCCCTGGGGGGTCATTGATTTTCCCTTTATGCATATAGTAAAAACTTAAAAAATCTTCTTTTAAAGAACTCAAAGAGCTAGGGCTTAGATATTTGGCATGAAACATCTTCTAATGAGTGTCTACCAAGTTTTTGTTCAAATAAAAGCCCTGGGGTCAAAATTGG